CTGTCGTGCAAATGACAAGGTTGTCGTTAACCGATAAATTGTCGTCACGATCTAGAGGGAACAGCTAGATACGACAGTCATTCAACGATAAAATAAGCGTCCACGACACAATCACGACAGATAGTCGTGACATGGAGACAGGCTACATGCGACAGTCATCCAACGATAAATAAAACGTTACGACATAATGGGAACGCGCCCTTAGTGCTACATTGACGTATTTGTTCTTATTGACATATACATCTATTTCGTAACAAGCATGTAACAAGTGCGTATGTTTGAAGAAAAATCGGCAGAAATGTATATAATGTAAATAAATACATGACGACGTATTTTGAAATATTCGAAATTGAAATAATGTTCAAAAATCATTTCAAATTCATCTCCTATAAAATGTATGTAAAGTAAACGTTTTATTATTATAAAATTTGGATAGCTAATCTTTAGTGGAATTATCTTCACCTTCGATGATTGAATATGCAGGGCCAGAAATTAGGAAAAGGTAACGGCAAATATAAGAATTATTAAAACAACAGATCACATCCTCCGTGATTAAAATGAATCAACGTTTGCGCGATTTCGCATGCGCAAACATTGTTCACTTACGTATCCTACTCATATAATAATAATAATTAGAAAGACCTGCCTTTTTTTGTATAAAACCGACCTCAAAAGTTTGCTTATCCGTTTTCGCTGTGCCCGTTACGTAGCGATAACTGAAACGCATAATAATACGCAAATTCCTTTTAAAACGAATATTGAAACGAATATTGATATTGATATGACGAAATATTGTTATGAGCTCAAACACTACGCAGCTGTTATACACTGTTGAGGAGCTCCTCGCATCTGTCAATAATATTTTATTTTCATTGGAATTCCATAACTGCCTCTGTGGCCGAACGGCTACCACGCCGCAGAGGTCCCAGGTTCGATTCCCGAGACAGGACAAATATATATTTGTATGACCTACATTTATTTCTCTCGTGAGTTCGGTGTAATTTGTGGTTGTCTATGTGTGTGACCATGGCACCCGCGATACAAGGGTTTCCCTAGTGCGGCTATGTTGATTGTGTGCGTTATTATTATTATCTATGTGCCAAGTTTTATTGAAATCGGTTAATAGAAAGAGAGTGAAATTCAATAGACATTCACTCCCGAATTCGTCATCCTTGGAGGTGGAATATTATCTTTAAATTTGAATTGAAAACCTTTTCAAGAAAAAAGAATGTCGCGTAACATACAAACACAAAGAATCAGATTCATCAAGAGATTCTACCAGATAATAAAGCTTGTCTATTGTACAACACTAGACGTACTTTTCCCGTTATAACCCGTTATTGCGGCTTAAAGGTGGCTAATAGTGTCGCTGACGTTTTAGTGCATTTACTGATGACTAATATTTGTGTAGCTGTTTTCAAGTAGGTATATCAAATCTTTTGGTCACCGCACGAACTTCGTTCCGATTTCCGACTAGTGCATGTTCACGTGATGTTCACAGTGTGCACACGTCACTTTAAAATTGACATATCATATTTATTTGTCAACCCACTTATATGTAATAAACACTAAATGTTAATCGAAGCTTATCTTACATCATCCAAAATCACTTTCCAATTGATTCAGCTATTGTAGAAATTAGCAAAGACATACAAACAAAAATTCAAAAAACTGGTGTTTTAAGAAATTGAACTAAGTTTTTCGATCTAAAACCCGCCTATTTGTTTTTTCAAAGAAACGAACGTTCGACCCTTTACAGGTCGGTTTTCTATGTCGCGAAAACCTAAAAACTCGAACTAATGATTTAGATTTAGTAGTATGTCTTCAGTAGAAAATAAAATATTAAAATGTTAAAGTGCAGACTCACCTCCTTTACGATTTGATTATTATGTACTTATTAAAGGAATAAATAAAGTTTATGACAGATGTTAATTTTGCTACGAAGAATGTTCAGTGGCAACTTCACTTAGAAATTAGATCATAGCATATCGTCGGCGATAGTGCAATTACGCGTAACTAGCATTGGATTATGAGTTTCCACTTTGTTAATTGTTGTTGTTGTGAATTTAGTGGCCAAATCAAAGGGAATTTTAAAGCAAATTTAAGGGAATCTGTTGTTATCAGTCGGTAGGCAACATTCATTAAAATTGCTGTGCAAAAATGAAAGTCGTAGCCATTTAAACTACAAACTAATAGCGTTAAATCTCTCTCCTGAAAAATTTGGTTTAGTGCAGATGCGCACCTTTTACCAATACATATTGCGGATTTGCGCTATCCCCGACGATATGCTGGACCATGGTTAAAATTGGGAAGTCAATTGAAACAGTGCTATATATAAGAATTATTAAACAAATGGAAAATATAATAATCATTGCTATTTTGATTAGCAAGAAAGTTCAATGGCAACTTAACCCACACACTAATCTGAAGGAGACTGGAGACACCGCTGAGATAGTAAACAAACGTGATAAATTGTCGATGCATGTGTTATTTATAGTTTATTTATTTATATGTACATGAATAGCCGTGGTGGCCTTGGTCTGAACCTTAAAGGCGCATTTATTCGAAACGAGTTTCATCGCGCTCAATCCGCGCGGCCGCCGCGCGGTCGATGACCAGAGTCCGCTTTGCCACCGCGCAGCGACCGCGTGCGTCTGACTGTCATGGCAAAATGCGCTCTACTTATTTAGCTTTTACGTTTTAACTTAAATGAGCCACCCGGATACATTTGGGCGAGACTGGCTTGAATTTGGTAGCGACCGCGCGATTGTATTATTCAGAGGAATTTAAATATTGTCAGCTAGTAAATAGAATTCAGATTCGCTATTAATGTACATGAAGGCGTGGTAACGCGAAAACTTTCTCCTCGTGTAACTGGGCGCTAATGGTTTGACTTACCGTCTTTCAAGCATAGTGGCGTGGGTATAATACGGAACTACATGCACATCCAGTGCTTTTCGTTATAGGTATATGCGAAAATTATAATTTGAAATTTCCCACAAGGTTTTCGGTGAAGAAAGATATCGTGAGGAAACCTGCACACATCTGCAAAGCAATTATGAGAGGAGACCTGTTGCCAGAGGTGAGACTGCCAACCAACAGCTTCGTAACTTCACCCAGACACCGAATTACGTATTTTTCGCAATAAATTTTGATTATAATAAACTTTTTATCAAACAATGTTAACAATGAAAATGTCATTAGGTCAAGGTCAGTTTCGACAGGAAAGTACATTTGCACCAAGAATAGCCATCATTACTTAATTCTTATTAATTCACAAAAGTCCCATCACTGATCACGAGTTTTCTGTGAAACAAAAGTTTTGGCCAAACTCCACCACAATAGGGCAAATAAAGCCGTTAGAAGTATACTGCAATGCAACAATGTGTCAATACAGCTCATACGAAGATTCAATGAAAAATAAAAGTAAAAACTAAAAAAAATTAAATTATTTAAGATTTGGCTTGATGGATTTATTCCAATGCCGTAAAACCAATCTCCAAAAAATAAAATTACCTGCAAAAGACATACTTCTGATTTTCAAACGTAATCATCGGATTGTTAAGTATATTACTTGTTTATGTATATTATATTTGCACCCTCGCTGTATAAGGCCACATTTGTATTATAAAAAACCTACCTCAAAAGTTCGTGGAGTTACATCTATTTGCCAAATGTTATTGAAAACCGCATTCATACCCCAGTTTGCCACCCTTAGATGTGGAATATTTTCTTCAAATTTAAATAAGATCAACACTGAGATCTGAGGCCCGCATTTATGAGAAAGAGGGTACCCTCTTTTTAATAAATGCGGGCCGAAGTTACCACGTAACATACATACAACAACAAAAAAAAAAGAAAACCTCCTTTTTTTGATGTCGGTTAATAACTTTTCTATGCTATAATAGGAGAGTTACAAAATTTCACATATACGTAATTTGTTTCATGCTGCCAACTAAAAGGCAAAATATTTTTTGGAGATCAAAAAACCATAACCCAGTTTTAAAATATTGAAATTGTTTAATGATATTTCAGTTATGCATCGTTAGGGTAAGTTCCGATAAGTTGAACACGTTAACTAATTTTAACTGTTTTTAAAAGAGAATTTAGTGCTCATCTTTTTCTATTGAAGACGGATATTTGACCATTACTCACTTAGCCGAATTTTAGTTAGTGGACGGCAGCACGTTGTTCGTATTACTTTTGTGAGTTTCATGTGAGCACTTTTGTCGTATGGTCACTTGTGGCTTTATTATACCAAGGGTAAGAATTAATTTTAGTCCTACTTATTCTCACGTCTTAATGAGATACGTAAGATACTGTGAAAATAAATAAAACAATTGAATCACCCGATTTCTGCCGATTGCCAAAATATTAGCTGATCAACAGAGATAGAAATAGGTAGAGTATATTTAACTAACCTTCTAGAAAGTGATACACAGAGTTGATAAATCTCCCTCTGAAATCGCGAAATTATTGTAATGTATTTTTTTCTACATTTTTGACGTAAACGAAAATGTAATTTTCTTCTTCATTATTACATAATAGAGTTACAGGTTGAGTCAGATGTTAGAGCATCGCCTGGTTTGGTGCGATTCGAGTCCTGCCAGGTGAAAGGGTTTTTTTTTGTATTCGTTCTCTGTATTAATAACTATAATAAACTGGTAGAGTTACTTCAAAATATATGAATAACACAGTGGTAAAATTTCTTGATATATGTATAACTATTTTGTTTAAATTTTTTGCCTTTTTATTTATAATCATTCTATGATTTCATAGAGAGGTATTATCTACTCTATAATTATCACTTCAAGCTGAGGCACTCTGCCTAATACCATCTGTGCTGATCAAACGAGAAATTTATCTTTTACAAAATGGTTAACCACAATCGTATGAATGAACAAAGAAAATGCACTTCGTGAATATCATGTCCCTATAAAATTATATATAAGAACAGTTTTCGTAACTCAATTTCAAAATCTGGAACTTATCCAACTTACCATTTTATGAACTTCACAAATCATAGCACATTTGGACACATTTGTTACATGAATTAAACAAATAATACACTCAGTAACTGGCCACT